ATGTCCCAGCTCCCCTGTGACCAATGTCCCAGCTCCCCTGTGACCAAGGACCAATGTCCCAGCTCCCCTGTGACCAGGGACCAATGTCCCAGCTCTCCTGTGACCAAGGACCAATGTCCCAGCTCCCCTGTGACCAAGGACCAATGTCCCAGCTTCTCTGTGACCAATGTCCCAGCTCCTCTGTGACCAAGGACCAATGTCCCAGCTCCTCTGTGACCAAGAACCAATGTCCCAGCTCTCCTGTGACCAAGCACCAATGTCCCAGCTCCCCTGTGACCAATGTCCCAGCTCCCCTGTGACCAGGGACCAATGTCCCAGCTCCTCTGTGACCAGGGACCAATGTCCCAGCTCCCCTGTGACCAGGGACCAATGTCCCAGCTCTCCTGTGACCAAGGACCAATGTCCCAGCTCTCCTGTGACCAAGGACCAATGTCCCAGCTCTCCTGGGATGGTGACACCCAAAGGAGTCGGTGCTCAGGCACCTGGCTGGCACAGTCCTGCTGCAAGCAATGCCATCCCAAAGCAGATGGCAAAGGTACCCACTGCTGCTGCTGCCTCAGGATACTCTCAAGTGAACATATTTGCAGTCAATGAACTTGGCTGCAAAGCAGTGACATTTAAAGGCTGATTCTGTACATGGGAACAGGCAGTTATCTGTATGGAACAGAAATACACTTTGGGAGCGTGCCTTCAAGGGAAGGAGCAACTCCACACTCAGAGTCCATCTGGAGAGAAATTCTGGGAGAAATTCGCTCACTTGGAATGAATTCTCCGAATTTCAGCTGTCTCCTTCATCCCCCCAGCAAGGGGAGGGAGMTCAGTGAGGAATACAGCTGCTCTGCATTCACAGCTTGTCCTTCAGCACACAACCGGCCACTGCTTGAAACTGTGGCAAAGCTGAACACGGCAGAGCATCAAAAAGAAGGAAATGGGGCAATTTAGGGAGCGCTGAAACTCCAACCTCAAAGCTGCCAAGAGCAGCCCCCTTTGCTGCTGGAAGGGGAGCTGGCACCCCACCCATGCCCGTGTAAATCCATTCCTTTACAGCCTCTGAGGGACTGGGACAAAACAACAATAAAATAATTAAARTAAAAATAAACAAAACCACAGAGCTGTGCACAGAAACCCCGCAGACAGCTCGCACTTGGATCGAGCTGGAGTTTGGATAAAGTTGGAGAAAGCAGCCTACACCCTCCTGTCAGCAGCCAATGTTAAACGATGTGGCAATTTCCTGTCAGAGCTGCATTCTGGGCTCCTGCTCCTGCTCTTGCTGGTGTATTTTTGCCATCTAGTGGTAAAGASACAGAGCAGGGAAAAATCCTAGAGCTGAGATGGTGCATTGATGCTCTCCATGGACATCTCAGCAGGGCACACCACTGGGGCAGGGATGTCTGCACCTGAAGGACCTCAACCATTATTAATTTCCAAAAAATAACCCAATAAAATATCTTATTATTGGGTTCCCCCTCAGCTCCCCAAACAGCTATGGGTGGGTTTGTTCTGTTCTGGAGCATTTCACTGCAGCCAAGCTGCCATCACCACCAGGAAATCAKCAGGAAAGCAGCTCCATCAATACCTGAGGGCTGGGGAAACATTGTAATGGCCAGGCTATAAAGACAAATCCTTTCAGGAGGAAAAAAAAGCACCCTGCAGGATTGCTAAGCATGRCATTCATCTCTGAAGGACGGAAGGAATAGCTCTGCCATATCCAAATGGTGCAAATCTTCCATAACACAGGATAAATAACCAAGAAAACTGCATCAGCCTGTGACCAAATCCAAYTAAATAAACAAATGCACCATGCAAAGTGCTGTTCCAGTTTTCTCTGTTTTCAGCTACTCAGGCAATGCTGGTTTCCTCTGGCACCAAGGAGAAGATCCCATTAACACAAAGCACCACACACTCCATATTTGACACCACAACATTCACTGACAACACAGAATTGTTCCTCAGGACAGAGAGAGGAATGGCACTGGAATCACCCTCCCCTGCCATTCCTGCTCCCCGTTATCCTGCTGTCCTGARGCACAGGACAATGACAGTGATTTCACTCCTTAAACAGGGATGTCAGACAGGCACAGCACTGGGGACATTCCCTCAGGGACACGTCCCAGTTGGTGTCACCCCGAGCCACTGGACTGCCAGCCCTGGGCAGGACAGARCTCCAGGGAAGCCACAGCTGAGGACACACAAAGACAGAAAAAGAAACCACAGAGGGAGGGGGTTGAGGGGGGCTCAGATGATGTGAGCTCAGTTCCAAGCTGCTCTGCTCTAAGGACTAATCCAGGTMTCAACACCCACTCCTCAGACAGGCATTAAAACCCTCCAGGGCTTTTCAGTTTGTTCACTACCAACAGCCTGGAGCAGTGGCCAGGCCAGCCCTGGTGCCAAGCCCTCCTCAAGCAGGGGCAGGACCATATTCTTGCCTATACTTACTGAGGATTGACACTCCAGGTCATCTTCCTCATAGTCAGGGTTTACCTGATGGAACAGAATCACAGGCACGTCAAACTCAGCACAGCTCCACRTGGGAAACAGCCTGAGCACTGCCTCAGCTCCCCTGGGCACCAGSACTGCAGATTTCTGCCCAAACCCAGAAATCACAGCTAAAGAACCTAAAAAGGGGCAGGGAGGTTTATCTCAATCAGGAGAATCACTGCAGGAGCAAGAGGAGAGAGTTAACAAGTTTATGGTTTTTGTTTGTTTAAATTCCAAGTGGAATTTCCAACTAGGAATTACTGGTTTGGAGAAATCTTTTAGAACAAGCACTATTCCAACCAGGGATCAGGTGAGCAAACTCCTCTGGTACATCTGTGCATGATTTAAGACCATGGCTGTGTTTGGGCTGATTAGAAAAAACAAGATTTACTGGAAAAGCTCTCCACTGGATCACCACTGAAAAGGATTTGCAGYGTGCATGTGACAAAATGCTGCTGGTTTCCCAATCTGCTTATCAGAATAATAYAAAATGGGATATTTAATCTGCACTTTTCTCTATCTGCAGCTCTTACAGACTGGTCTGAAGTCAGTGTTTCAGTTTTATACTCAGTGCTACAGTTCTGCTCCAAAATCAGCGATTCAAGAGAAATTACCAACACTTGAATTCCCTTTCCCCCAAAGGCTCTCAGTCATTTACCATTTATTCATCAGTTAATAAAGTCACATTGATTCCAGTGCCCACATGACAGGATACCATTTAGTGCCTATTCTTTGCAGGAGAAGTTCCAAAATTCATCCAGAAAGTGTAATCAGCTCACATCTACCCCAAACCGTGGTTTTCCTTCAGCTCTTCCACCTCATTTCCTACATTTARCACCTATTTTTGCATTAATCCAAATACCCACTCTCCTCCCCGCCCCGTGGCCGGTTTTGGGGTGGGAATGACAGATTTTCAGGAGGTGCCAAAGGAAGAGAAGGCTGTGCARGGCAGGCAGAGGTGCCAGGCTGGCCCCACGTACCTCTGCTGCCAGGTAGTGCCCCGTGGCCAAGTGCTTGAACCTGAAGAGGCTGTTCCAGTAGCCAGCTCCTCCTCGACAGGGATCGTGCTGCACCACCTGCAAGGCAAGAGAACAATCTGGAATCAGYACAGACCCTCCTCCCAGCAGGATCTGCCTCATTTCATGTGCAGGGAGGGCAAACAGAGCCAGGGGCTCAGGAAAGGTGAAAACACCTCTGATCTGTGAGCAGCACAGTGCAGGGAATGCCCTGAGCTGGCTGGGATTAGTTCAGTTTAGGAATGAATTAAAGAAGATGCTCTCAAAGTGCCAGGTCTTGAAACAAACCCCTAAAAATGCAACAAATCCATCACACTTTGGGTCCAACTAATTTTGGACTGTTTAAAGTGGATGAGGGAAAGCACCTGGAAATATTTCAAATGCAATGTGCTGTACAAAAGAATTAAATTTATATTTATTGACTAAGGGGGGAGCCTCCAACTCCTGTAACCCCATCCTGGCTGCTCTGTGGATATTTTCTTCAGGAAAACTCAGCACAGTTGGTCTGTGCCTTCCAGGGAAGGACTGTCTCACCCATGCTTGAATTTCCCTGCACACACATGGACATCACCACAGGCTGGTGTGCTCTAACATGCCAAAATCATGCTAATTACAGGCAGCCTTTCATTACAAATCCATGAGGAGCTGAATGGCACAGCAGATACTTCTGGAAGGGAAATATAAAAGCACCTATCCATCGCTGCAATTCATTTTTTGATTCTTATATGCAGTTCATAATTTAATCAGGTTTAAAATCATAAACCAGCTGTAACAATACCARCAGATTGAGGCTATTTTCAGGAGCCAGTGATGGCCAAGGTGTTAGTCACTCTGTTTGAAAGCCAAGTGAATGAAAGAAGCTGGTTCAGACAGACCAGCAAAGGGCTGCAGCCTCCTGTGGAATGAGGATATGCATAATCACATTATTCCACACCAAAAATAGAGCCCTCAGTACGCTCAGCAGGACAGTGGAAATTATAAGCTGTTGTTAAACCTCAGTGGCTGGTAAAAAATGACTTCATTGATGTTTCTCTGTGCCCTTTTCCTGAACTGTAAAGCACCTGAACTCCAGAGCTCTGTGCTGCACATGGGAGAGCAGAGCTGCACTGTGATTSTGCACAGAAAGTGAAGGGATTTTAATTTAAACTCATAACACCAGGGAACTTTTCCCTAAAAAGAGAAACCCAGACAGAGTGTTTTAAACCAGGAGCAGCAATTGTTCCCACCAAACCTCACCTCCACCTCCCACAGGGCTTTGGAGCTGGTGGCAGATGTGGCCGACTGCCGGCCCGTGGTCCTGAGGAACACGTGCTGCTTCTTCCTGTGCTCATCACACGTCAGGAACTTCTCCTGCTCGGCGTGGAACAGCCTCACCACATCCCCCTGGCAAAGGCAGGCAGCAGATCAGCACAGGCAGCACCCAGCAGGGCACACACRGGCACAGCTCTGCCTCTCACCCCTTTGAGGATGTCATCCTTGTTGTCGCTCCATTTCATGAACAGGACGATTTTCCAGCTGGTGTTGCAGTTCACTGAGTTGACCTAAAAGGGGAACAGACACCATCAGTCCYGCTGTCTTGTGCCACAAGCCACTGTCTCATTTTTCAGACCATTTTCACAGAATTCTGCAGGCCTGGCTGCACTGCTCTGGAGGAGGAAAGTCCTCTCTGTATCTAATCCAGAAGGAGTAACTTCAGARCTGATTTGTTTGGAAACCACTTATGACACATCCATGTTGGTAAATTAATTTTCTTCATTCTAGTGACTAGAATGGGGCAYTCTGCTGATTTGGAAGGAGCACCTTGTTTTTAGCCAGTCACAAAACGAGACCAAACTCAAACCTCTGCCAGCAGCCAAGAGAAAGCAGAGCTCAGAGATTTTTCTTGGAAGTCACTGATTGCCAGGATAACCATTCCTAAGCAGTGTCACAGGTACCAACCACCTTGCTGGATTTTAAACCATGTGCAAATAGCTCAGCAAAGCACAGAGAGGTTTKTCCAGCTGCTCCAGATGTGCAGTGCCCTCACCTCATTGCATCCCGGGTTATCCACGAGCTGATGGCTACTGGCATGGAGAGGCTGGCCAGCATTGACAGGATTCAGGACCACTTTGTCTCCAATGACAACCTGCAGGCAAGTGCAGCATCAGACAGAAATTTGCACACTGAGAAAGCTCTTTTCCTATCCCCCCTTTTTTTATAATGGAAGCAATGGGAGGAAATCACCTTTTTGCAGTGTGGAGTCTGAGTACTCCACCAGGRTTCTGCYTGGTTCAGGATTTAGCTCACCAAAATCAGACACTGAGGCAAAAACCCCTCWGCTACTGGACTCAGAGCTGGCAGAAGAAGCAGCTCTGGGTAYAGAGCTCTGGTACAGGATAAACCATGTCTGATAAATTGATCGTGTTTAGGTGCCAAATACATACCTGAACCTAAACCCCAKAGCACACTGAGGCTCATTACCTCCTGGTTTTAGGGAGATCTTGTACCCAAGTGACTCAGATTTTTGCAGAAGAGGGGATTAAAATGGCAATGCATTTAAAGATTTCCCACGAACAGGAGCACTTCACTTCCTTATTACCTCACTCCTCATATCCAAAGTAGCAATGAATTTTGATTCTAAGCTGACAACACTGAAAACCAGGATGCTAATTATTCCTTCCAAACCTCCTGAAGGAACTCAACACTTCCTACCATTTTGAATTGAGCAGGATTTGTGCAAGGCCAGCCTAATTAGGTCCCTTATTCCCTCCCAATGTTAGATCATTCCACGTTTCCAAAATACAAGTTACCATAGCAATCTTCCTCCCCCTCATGACAGCATAGGAAAAGGGTTGTTCCTGCATCATCATCACACACTCAGAGATTTGTGCATCTCATTAATTGCAAGCCAGGCCCCCCAAAAGCATCCTGGCTGTGTCCAAAGGGAGGTGTGAGCACCCTGTCCCCAGCACTTACRCTGTCACCGATGGAGCGCAGTTTGTAGAAGGGTTGGATGTAGAACCAGGAGCCTTCATTTCCAGCTTCATCCAAGGTCACCCTCATTGCATTCTTCTCCAGCAGCGCTGGAAGCCTCTTATTTACTGTTAAGTATTTGTTACTTTTTAAGTGAAGCAGCTAGAATAAGAATCAGAGTTCAGTTCTAAGAATGCTCCTCTTCCTCCCCTCGACAGCCCGAGCGTGCATCAGACAATGGCAGTGCTACACAGGAGTGCAAAGGGAATTGGGAGCAAACACTGATGGAAGTKGGCACAGTGACACACTCAGAGACACAAAACACCTGCAGTGAACCCAGCTGACCCTGCCCCAGTGAGGACAAACAGCTGGAAATGCCCTCATTGCTGAGAACCCGTTCTAAAATACAGCACCAAAACTCAGAAAATGCTGGGACTACGTGGCTCTTCCTGCTCTGAGGCAAAGAGGCTCTTCTCTTGCTTTGCTTGGTCTCATTTAACTGAAAATGCAACTATTTCTCCTGATTGCCCTTCTCTGTGTCAGTTTATGATTTGATGTGTCAGCCTTTCACTGAGATGAAATTGGGTGCTGTACATGTGTCACCTTCCAGCAGTTCCAATGAGGGTTTTAATGAATATTTCTGAGGAAAACAATCCATGGTGGCCTCAAAACCACACACAATTAACCCATAATAAAAAACTGACTTCATCCCAGATACAGCACCCAGGCCCTGCTTCCCAGCTCTCACTTCAGAGCATGTGAAACCTGGCAGAACCACAGACCCTTGACCATGAATTCCACAAATTTAAACTCCACTGAGCAGGGAATTTTCAACTAAATCCTCTCCAGCTTGCACAGATGTTCACAGCCTGCTGGATGACCCTCCCACTCTGGGTGACTGTCCCCACAGCCTACCTGGATCACATTCCCATACTGGATGACCGTTCCCAGCAGTTTTCTGTTTTCAGTTTCATTCTGTTTCTTTTCCAAATCCGCCGCATGCTGAAAATTAAAGGAGAACAGTTCAATTGCTGTGTGTTTTAGAAAAGGAGGTTTTATGAAAGTCCCTTTTCTTCAAGATTATTTCAAAGGACTGGAATAACAGTGAGCATCTGAAAGAGCCCAAYTTCCTTTTTTTCCAGCTTCCAACAGCATAATTTCCAATTCCCTTTTTCAACTGTTTAGGAAGATAGACACACATCATTTAAGTAAGCTGTAATTTGGGTACAATTAGACAAAATTTTGGAATAAAACAAGAGATGAAAAGCTCAGACAAGACAGAAGGCAGATACCTCAGGGGGGAAGGTGAAAAAGGGATGGGTAACAKCTCCAGCCAGGAATTCTGTTTTCCTTTCTAGTGATTTCTACACAAATTGMATGAAAGAACCTCAACTTTGATTCTGTATTTTCCTTTGCCAAKACAGGCTCCAGCTGCCCTCCAGGCTGTGTTTTTATGGAGAGTCTCCCTACACAGCAGGATCCTGGACTGCCCTACCAYGCTGGGGGCCAGATTTATTATAAATACAGAAAACAATGAAACTGAGAGGGTACAAACACAACTCAGGATGTACTTCAAAAGCACCCCCAAAGTTGCTCCAGCAGAACCATTTTTCTGGCCACTAGATGTCAGCTCCTGAAGCAGCTCGGATGCTGCGACCACAGAGAGACAAGTGTCCCAGATTTGAAATCCCTTAAATGGCATTAACTTAAAATAACCTGACCTCAGCATGGAGYGCTCCGTGGCAGACAATAAATTCCACCAGCAGACAAACAGAAGCCAAAAAAGGCAAGTGATGATGATGAACACTTCTTGCATCATCAGCTGCGTTGGAAATGCAAAGCGCTGATAAAGAAACCTCAGCCTGGGCAGAATTTACAGCTGTGAGCACAGGAATTGGGGCCCATGCACAGCACAGGGGTTCAGGGCATCCCATGTGCCAGCAAGGGGAAAAAGTGGCACATGGGATCACAGAAGGAAGTTTTGATACCAGTGGTGTACGTGGGACATGATTGTTTTCAAACCCTGGGTCACTCAGACCTGATTCAGCCCCATCAGATTTCAGGTCCAAGTGATGCAGATCAAATAAACCCCAATAAAATTGCAAAGCACTCAGATCCTTTCGCCAAATCAGGCAGGTCATGGTGGGACAGTTGTGTGCAAACCTCACCCAGCTGGGGCTAATTCTGGTAGAATCTCATGCTGTGTTTGCAGGACTCTGGCACAGAAGAGTCAAGAGGAGCAGGGACAGATCCCAAACACTGCACTGGGATGTACTCAGGGAAGGGGACACAACTCCAAACAAAAACATAACCCAGGGCAATTGCAAACCCTTTTTCTTCTATATAATGCACTATTTAGACTCTATTTTCTCTTAAACCCATGCACCTTCCCCTTTGCTTACCAAAACAGCCAAACCCAGAACCCCATCCCTCTAAACTCGCTGCCACAGCCTACTTCTCCTATGAACACAAGAACGTGGCCCAGGTGAGGCAGCTTTGAGCYACCAAAATAGCTCTGTCCCTGCCAAGCTGCTACTTTTGGGTTATAAATATATTTTGTGAAGCAGAAGGAGTCCACYGGTGGGTCTTTGTGAAGAGCAGGAGCGAGGCAGCCATATGGCAATCAGCAAGTGACACTCTCCTACGGGGCCATTTCATATTCTGGGCTACAATGAGCTTAATATAGGCCTAAAGAACCTAAAAATATTCAGAATTGTAATTTTGACATGAAGTACTCCAGCTATGTAATTTTAACATAAACACTGCGTTTATTTAACTCTAAAGTCAACAGATGGTATTTAAGTTAAGTTGGCTTTTTTTTTATATAGGAGCTCTAAAAACAGCAATCAACTGCCTTACTGAGTTTTCAGCTGCTGAATGTCAACATTTTACCCAGAAAATATTAAATACTGCAAGCTAATACRGAAGGAGAGGCTGTCTGGCCTTATAATTACTCATAATTACCCATCAGCCTTCCCATGCATTAACAGCAGCGATGTTTGTTCRAGCAATCCCAATAGATTGATCAGAYCAGCAGCTCCTGATCTCACAGGTCAGGATGCAGGGCCTGGGAATTCTCTGTGGATTGTTTCAAAGGTCTCTTTTTGGTGCTGTTAAGACCCAAAATGCTCTCCTGGAGCAGGTTAATGACAGTGAGAGCTCTAGAGCTGCCCCAACTCTAATGCAGCATCATGGGCACAGCACTGGGGACACAGACCTTGAGCAGGAACTGGGGGTACAGACACTGATCTCTGTGTGACAGGGMCAGGRAGGGTCAGGATKGAGCTCAGGGAAAGGTTTTTATGTCCCTAAAAGGTGCTGGCACTGCCCAGGCTCCCCAGGGAATGGYCCCAGAKCTCYRGGAGCGTTGGGACAGCGCTGCCAGGGGTGCTCAGGGGGGATTTTGGGGGGCTGGGCAGGGCTGGGGAGGGACTGGATGATCCTGGTGGATCCCCTCCCTCTCAGCTCATTCTGTGATTTTGCAGTAATCAGAGGATTGAAGCCTTGCAGTGACCATCTCCCAAGGAATCCTGCACRCCAAACTCTACGAACACTCGGTGCCTCCTCATTAACTGAGCCAAGCAGATTGGAAACCCCTGCTCAAAGAGCAGGCTGGGTGTGAGCCCTGCTGTGACAGACAATACTCACGTGCAGTTTGTTGAGCAGCACAGCATCCGTGGTGCTGTTGGCTCCTGGCTTTGCTGCCTTCCAGAACTGCTTCTGCGCCGAGTAGCGGTTCATGGGACACAGCTTGAACAGGCAATCTGCAAAAGGAAAAACACAGACATGGCTTCAGCCAGCCACAATTAKCCAGAGATTCTTGCTGCTGCTAACGCTCTCCAAATATTCCAGCGGCAAGGAAAGGTTTATAAACAAATTCCGAAAAGCTCTTGATCAGACAAATGCTTTTTTGAGCAACAGGAATGCTTGCCCCATGAATGATAAAAACCAACTGCTGCTGCCAACTTCTGATGCAAGACCAGAAAATTTATAACKTGTCCCAGTCARAAAGGGTACCAGACTAAAACARGAACAYGTTCCAGYGCTTTCCCAGGCAAACAGATTTGGKTTRWGCACTTTCARCTTGGAGTTTTTGTACTTCAGCAGGTAAACTCTGTCAGGGTGGGGGGCTTTTGCTTTGGATTTTTTCACTGCTATTGTTGTCTGAGTAGTTTTTAAATCAAATCCCTTCAATTGCTAGTGAAAACAGGGCAAAAAAAAAAATCAGAGAACTTCACCTAATAAAGTGGTAGCAGCATAAAATATCCTCAAACAGCAGCCTGCAAAAGCACAGACCTTCAAGGCATAGCTCAAGGCAACATCAAACCCCTCAGGGTGTCAGGTTCTATACCCAACGCATCAGCACAGCTGATTTAACATTCTGCCTGGCAAAAGTCAGGAATCACAGCTCATTAGTCTTATTAAAAATACATTTCTGTATTAGAGATGCTAACTTATCAGTAATAAACCCACACGAGCTGCAGTGAGTGTTTTTGCTCCTCCCGTCACTAAGCAACGGAACACGCAAAAAAATAAATTCAGCTATTCAAAGGCAGCGCCTAAAGTAGCAGCTCAGGAGTTCACWCCAAGTGCCAGGAGAGCCAGGAGGCTGTTCCCAACCTCTCTGGCAACAGAGGGGATGCAAAACCTTGGGCTCCCTGCTCACAGGGCCTTTCTGCAGGCTCCTGCTGTGTCCCTACAGGCAAAAATCCCACAATTGGGGGAGCAGCAAGGTCAGGACAGACCCACCTGGGGTTTGTCCTCGGTGCATGGAAAGCAGAGCTGCTGGTTCAGGGATGCAATCAGCCAAAAAGGGACAGATTCCACTCTGGGAACAGCTCATGGCAGCTCTGCCAGAGGTGAAGCTGCTGGAGGGGCTGAGGCAGAGCATGACACTTTCACCTCTGGATGAGATTTGGAGCAGACACCATCACCCCTGTCATGCCTTGGCTCCAATCCATCCCCAGAGCTCACCAGGGAATGTCAAACACCTTCCACAGAAGGGCAGAGAATGCCAGGATGGTCTGGGTTGGAAGRGAGCTCAGAGTCCATCCCATCCACCAGGATGTGCCAGGAACCAGCCAGGGACAGAGCAGAAATTTGGCATGGCACGGGACCCTTTCCAGTGACACCAGGGGAGGACAGAGCGAGCTCAGGGCACGGGGATGGAACCTGAACTCAGCTCCACCTCCACCCACAGCTCAGCCCGGGGCTGCTCTGCTCTGCACCAGCACAAAAGTGCAAACCACACTCGCCAGGTTTGCTCCTCACCCTTTTCCATTTCCATCAGGATGATTCACAGAGATTGACAGCGCAGAAGAGATTCAAAAAGCCACTGCGGGCTGGCACTCCGAGCTAAGACTCTGCATTGTAAGCAACACACCAGTTATAAAATTTTCTATTTTTGCTTAAACCATCAGTTCACACAATGACAGCAATTAACACACAGAACTGCAGAGAAGAATTAATTGTATGCTAGATTTAGTCGCAGTGCACTTCTTCCCATTCCTTTTCAGTCAAGAAAGTTGTCAAGTTAGGCTCAACTTCCAACTTGKTAACTGCAAGTAACCTCCTCTCCTGCCTGAAGCACCAGGAGAGGTCTACGTGTGTTTGACCTTGTCCAGCACAAAAAAGGAAAACATAACATGTTTTTCTTAGGTTTTCTCCCTAGTAACAAAGCTCCAGATCAAAAACAAACAATGAAAAGCACCCAATAGATTTTTTTTTTCTAGTATTTGTTCTATGAAATCTRTTTCTGAAGTGCTCAGAAGTTCAACTTTGCCTTGTTCACCTTCGTATGGCCACCAAATGTATTTCACCATGGGTCAAACTGCRTGAACTTTATGGCCAGAAGATTTTCAGATCTCCAGATCCCCCGGCCTTGGATGTTTACAAAGTCAAGGATGTGCTGGCTGAGTCCCACCACGGTCATTGATCTGCAGCCCTGATGACTGTGCAAGATAAACCCACTCTGCTCAGACACCATCCTTATGGAACTTGGGTCTATTTCTAAAGCAGGAGCCAAAAATCCAAAGCCAAAAATCGAAAAGGAAGCCCCAGCAGCCCAAACCATCAGCTCTCTGCTCCACTCAGCAATTCAAGCATCTTTAGCCACATAGGAAAGGTGATAAATAAAGCAATTACTGCACAGTAACGACATCTTTTTATAGACTGTTTGTTGAATATTAACCAGGAAGGAATGCATTCTGCTTTCAGATCTTCACGATATACAGTGAAAAATGGCAGAATTGCACAATGAAGGGGTATAAAAATAAAACACGACRTCACTGTTGATGAAATGATGATACATCAAGCCTGAACACCCAACAAAGGTCCCGCAGGAAAAAGGGATTGCATAATCCTACACTACCCCAGCGGGATGACGAGCGTTCCACGGGCACGGACGAAATTTGCGTTTCAGCGCCTCCAACTCCATCCTGCACGGAGCAAACACGGCTGCAGCACGTGAGGGATGAGTTCTCTGCTYGCTGCTGGGCCATTTCCAGCCCCTGTGGGCCACAGCCACCTGCAGCTCCCCGAAATATCGCGGCCAGGATTGGCTGCCCTCGGCGTGCTCCAGCAGCGCTGCAAACCCCCGTGTTCCCGAGTATTTTGGGGTTCCAGGAAGAGGGAAACTTGCCAATTCCAACTGCCAATTCCCTCCACCCCGTGCTTTCCATCTTCTCCTCTCCCTTCTACATTCCTTTCTTGACTAAACCATGCTCTTTTCCAACCCAGCACAGACTCCAAACTTCCAACTCTTCCCTCCAATCCGAGCCCAAACAGGCACATTCCAAATGCCCAAGTTTTGCTCTCATAGCACAACAAAAAAMCTGACAAAGACTGAGCTTTTTCTTTCCCCTACAATGGGAATTGAAATCATTTAGGTAGTACATTAATAAGGTTATTAGAAAACGTAATTCAGGATTGGTCCAAAATCAAAAATAACAAGGTTAGAGAGGCTGGGCTGATATGGAGAAGGGAGAAAAGTATTTCAGAGCTCACCAAAGGCACCATTACCTTGCTTGACACAAAACTGCCTAGAAACAACATAAGCCAAACATTCCCATGCAATTCCAGCCTCCCCACCCTTTGGGGCATTAAGTGATGCCATTCTGTCAGTCCTACCCTTGGGGTATGGGGATAGCTCAGAGAGCTCMTGAGCAGGCACTGCTGACACCCAGAGCTCCACCAGGCAATGTCAAACACCTTTCGGAGAATGACAATGGTTCATGGAATCCCAGGATGGTTTGGGTTGGAAGGGACAATAAAACCCATCCCATCCCACCCCTGCCATGGCAGGAACACCTCCCACTGTCCCAGGCTGCTCCAAACCCTGTCCAGCCTGGCCTTGGGCACTGCCAGGGATCCAGGGGCCTCCCAAGCCTCCCAAGGGAGAATTTGATCCCAATATCCCATTCATCCCCACTCTCTGGCACTGGGAACCCATTCCCTGTGTCCTGTCCGTCCATCCCTCATCAATAATCTCTCCCTGCTCTCCCTGAGGTGCCCCCTGCTCCTGGCAGAGCTCAGCTCCCATCCCATATTCCTCCCCTGCCCTTCTCCAGCACCCCCATTACAGAAGGATCTGGAAGCACTTTCAGCTCCAGCCAGGCTGSTTGTGCAATCCACCACTCATCATTTTTTCCAAATCTCCAGTGCCTATTTTAAGCACTCAGAAGAAGGTCTTCACCAACTTTTCTGCAGTTGGAGAGAGCAGGAATCAAATACTTTGCTGGCAACAAAAAGGTGTGTCGTTATTTCGGGTTTTAAACCCAGACTTTCCCAAATGCCAACCGGAGAAAGGTAAGAACCAAAAGAAATTACTCCCCCTCACAAAAATCATAATTTAGGGCGCTTTCAAATGAGGAAAATCTAGAAAGATGAAGATCTTTAAATAAGYCACAAATCTACTGAATATTTAACACCAACACAGCTGTTTCTTCATTACTTGGAAAAAACCAAACTCTSTTTTGCACAGCAAAACTAAAATTAAAAGAAAACCAGCAATTCCCTGCTGAAATTTAGCAGGTTCTCTTCAGACTTTTCTATACTTAGATACCTGATATTTTCCCAAGGCCAAAGCCTGCTCACAGGAGAGAATAAATACACAGATAATATATTTTCTTTTGATTTTAAATATGAAAGAAGAGCAGCAATGAAGAAGTAACGTAGCTGGCAATGATGCAGATACTGTAAATAGAGGTTCTTGACTTTGTATTTACGAAATTGCWCAGCTTTAACACTCTCCCAAGGATGATAACGCTTCACGAGATGTGGAGTTGATTTGAAGACAAAATGAAGACCTCTCTTGTGCTTAAATGCAGTATTTTTACACAGGAGATTTGGAGAATAATACAAAATGCTCATATTCAATCACAGCCAAGTTCTACCTTTTCAGAAACACTTGGATTACTCCATCATCTATTTCTATACTTGTTCCTTYGGAGATTTAAAATTAATAGATGACAGCCTAAGAGGTTCAAAGAATATAGAACAAAAGCAGCTACAGGAATGTGTTGATTATTAATCATTCCAGCATTTCCACGAAGAGGGAGGAAAAAAAAAAACCCTCATCCTGCTGAAACAAGTGTCTTTGTGATGAGAAGACATCCTTTCATTTTCAATTTGCAGGGATCAAGCTTTGCTGGGAGCACAGCAGCTTGGTTCAGAACCTTGGGGATTTTGTCAGGATGGAGCAGCACTTGGGCTGAGGTCCCTTCCAACTCAACCCATTCTGGGATTCCAAAAATCTCACAGYAAT